TATCGGTCTGGGTGTTTTCTATGTATAATATGTATGTATTTACAAAAAAAATCTATGTATATGTATCAGTTATCTAGTATCTATAACACAAGCTTTAGATAGCTTAAATTACAACATTTATACAATAGTTTCGTATAGAACGTAGCATCAAGAATAGTCTATAACATCCTAGGCTCTTACTTAGAATATACAATCGACTCTAATATTGTAAAGAAGAAAAATTTTGCCAAATCACTTTGAAAAACTCTTAAAATTAAATAAAAAAAAAATAAACAATTAAAATAATATAGCTAGTATTACATAATATGTAATGACGTGTAGGAACATACTATTAATATTCTAAAGTATTTTTGCTACAATCCAGAATTTTTAATATAATAATAATAATAATCTCAGGACAATTCACACAGCATAAATGTAGCAATCTAATTTAAAAGAAATTGTGAAACAATAGGTGTGCTATAGATTATTCTCAATTGTTAGCTAGCTGGAACAGTAAAGATTATTAAATTTTATTGATGTGTATGTGGCAAAACCCTATCTATTATCATTACATAGTATAAAACAATGTCGCTGTCGATGTCTGTCCGTCCCTATGTACGCTTAAATCTTTAAAACTACGCAACGGATTTTTAATAGATTGAGTGATTCCAGAGGAAGGTTTATATATATAATACATATACATGCGTGCCAAGCCGGGGTGAGTAGCTAGTATATAATAAATTATTACTTATGACTTTAAATTCTAATAGCTATAACCCTTTTCTATTTAGGTTAGTGTCGGCATAATCGGCAAGCTTACAGCACACGTGATGGTAAGTGATTACCGGCTTCAATAACCAGCCGCAACAAGGTGAATTGCAGGCGAATTGCCGGTTTTATAAGGACAAATGTGCTCTTTAAGGTTTCAGTATGTATATATGTATGTAGGTACTTAAACGATTATTGCCATATAATCAATGAATGACGTCGCGACATATAAGTTTTATCCAAAATCTAATTCGATTAAATATATGTAAAATAAGAAAGCAAACTTTGTATAATTTTATGAAGTAATATAAAAATTCTTAGTAAACAAACGTGGAATGTAAATAATGTGTACTCATAACTAATGTTTAAAAAATCCTCTTCATCGATGATTCACAAATCCTATTTGAAGTGATTTAATGGAGTTTGTTAATCCCAATTCACGTGATCAATTCCGCAGTATACAGTAAATAGTAACTATATACTGGAAACAAGATTCAAAAAGGGTACAAGAGCCATCTGGCATGCATATGCCGACGGCTAGTGATCGTGGAGATATCCAGAACGTGATATGTCATGTATATACATAGTTGTCGATTTGTTGTTACTAGTAGGTGATCCGCATTAGAAATTACGTCACATTTAAATAGTAATAATTTAAATGAGGTGTCAAGAAATCCAAAACTCCTAGAAGGGTTGTGAAGTGGAGTGGGTCATAGCTTCGAACCCAGAATTATCCAATCTCACAATCCCTCAAACCCCTTCCCCCATTACCCTGTAACGTAATATATGAAGAGCCCCATACTTGTTACTTCCTAAATATATGGATATTATATTTAAAATTGTAACGACTTAACAAATTGTTTTAGGTAAGTAAAAACATAGTCGTTGATACGCAAAGAATTTCAATTCTTTTTATTCCGTTTAGTGTTCCATAATAGTGTCATAATTATGGCATATGATATATACATAATAGAACAAAATAAGTAAAAGCTTATTCAACAATAATATCTTCTCAACAATGTTAATGTATAAAAACGGATATAACATGACGTTACGTTATAACACTGACTGTTTTTTTAACTGAACTATATCATCATCCTTGTTATTCACAACTTCCAAGAACGCTTTCAGATAGGCATTTGTAATAAATTAAATTATACAGAAAAAAAAACGGCACAACGTGCAAATGAGAGATTATATTCTAGAGATCAATGAATCAGATTGTAATAATAGATATATTGAATGCGTGATAGATGAGCATTAAGCTATATATCTTTTGCTGTCAGTTTTGACACAGTCACGGAACTCACTATTATGATTGAAGGGAAACTGAACGTATGATATATGAATCTGTGATTGTATGTCGAACATCGAACGATGATTTTTGATCAGGCTTATTACATTAGGTTAGTAGGTGGGTCGGTCAACCATAAATTCAAAAGAGTTACACTGATTTCATCAAGGCGTCTAGAACATGTTCTTATTTGTATATTACATGTAAGTATTAGGATTTTCCAGCCAATATGTTTCGTCATCATTTGTATTAATTTATTTATTCGATTCGCACACGCAGTTTAAGTGAGTTGAAATGACCAATCACTGACCAGTTTCTTTACTGGTCGTAGTATAGCCAATCGTAACAGCAATCGGCTAATCACGTTTGCAACGTAGCTAAGTGTTATAAAATCCAAATTTAAGTCAAAGAACCCTATGAACCATCATCATTCATCAAGTTGTGAAACCTGAAGTGGACAGCAGATCCGAAGTGGAAACCAGAAGAGCAAAACGCAACAAGGGAGAATCGATCCCCGGCTCTTCCAGGGGAATATACGACGATCCGGCTATATGTAAATAGTGCTTGGTCTCTATCTTTCCACAAAGACCGACCTGTGTGATCGTGTTACATAAGCTGAGTCTCCCAAACTGTCATCGGTTCTACCGAATTGATACACTATCATTGTGTTAAGGAGACTTTATGATTAAATGATAATTGTACTGAAAACATTACTGCTAAAAATATTGTAGTGTGTATACAAGTACGTAGTATTATATTTGTAATTGAATTATGCGTCACTGAAGTGGTTGTGTGAATATGCGGTATTTGAGACAGGAAATATGGAAGTTAATCACTTTAATAAAATAGGTAGGTATAACTTACAACACCAAAAAAAATTGTAATTCTAGAAGCGTCAATAAATGTTCCATAATTAGGAATATGTATTTATAAAGATTTGGAACGACTTTGTATATTTTTTAAATTGTTTAATAGAATGTAATTTCAAACTCTATTTAATAACATATTACGAATATTTATGTTAGAGAAATTACTCAGTATGTTTCGTGTTTAGTAAAAAATACTTTATATCTACGTCCGTGTATATTTTACACAAGCAATATCTGTCCAAAACTAAAGGTTTTACGATTCTGTAGAAATACTCCATATTTCTTAATCAATATAGGTATGTAATATTATGTTATCTGTGATATAGGTATTAAACGACAGTACGTTACAGACATTTCTTAAAAGTCATGCACTGTGGCTGTGATATATAGATTGCAACCAGCACCAGGAAATTACATAATAAGCTTTGAACGATGTCGCTTCCTAGTCTAGGCAAACGGGCGTCCCGGAAGACTGATAATATTCAATAAATTCTGTATGCTACTTTGTTATAGTACCTACCTACTGCTACTTTGTTATAGTTCAGTTATTTCATGTCTCCTCTGAAATGTTTGACAGGAAACAATGGCTTAAATAATGTCAAGCCAAAATGTTATCTGTATGTTTGGCGAGTTAAATTATAGTTATCTTATTTAGACGAGTATTTGTTGATGTCACATAATCGTAGTATAGTTTGCGTAATATTATTTTGTTATTTTGTTCCTAACAAACAAACGACTTCCATAGTCATAAAGTTAATCTTACTCAAATCTAAATAGGAGAAAAACCCATTTAGTAAAAACATCGAAATTCAATTCCGATAAAATCTCTTTTAAAGTTAAATTTCTTATAAAATTTTCTTTAAAGTCCTTTCACGAAATAACACCTTCAAGAAATTATTTTATTAAGAAGCTTCTGTTATCTCGTTTATTACCTTTATGATGTCTATACTTTCATGTGTCACGAATAAAAACAATAGAAAGACCATAAAACATTAACCAATCATACGCATACATTTTAGGTAGCTATTTTACGTACATCACAAACATTTTATCTAAAAATCTATATAGGTATACAAAGGTGGTGGTAAATCCAGACAGACCCCCTCAATGAATTCATCCATACCAGACGGTGTTTGTCGCGGACAAAAACACCAAGTTGTGGCCCCTATTCCATAGCCAGTGTTGCCCGATGACGTCAGTTAAATTCAGACGAGCTTCCTCAAAATTTTGGTTCGAGAAAAATCTCCCTAATAAAGAAATTCTATAGTAAATAGTATGGTATTGGTGATTTTGGTTTTTTCAGTTTAAGATCCTGATAACTTTTTTATATTCTGTTTTTTAACCACAACCTCGTTAGTCTTTTGGTCTGTGTTCTTGTTTATTTAGATGACAAGGTAACTAACTAGTGGCGTATTTGGTATCAGTGTACCATACTAGATCGACCTCCACGTTGTCACCCCTCCACATAGATGGGTTAAGGTTATCCACCCATTTATCACATAATGAAAAAGAACTCATTAGATAATATCAGTTTTTTTTAATGTAATCATTAACTTTCTTAATTGTACAGTCATATTATCTGAATGGGATATTATACCATGATATTATTGTATTATGTAAGAGCTTCCTATATTCACGACACGTCGATCTGTGATCAGGACGTTTGTAACTGCGTCGAAATAGGCGAAGCTCTTAAGAAATATTATCCTGATATTTATCATGGTAATATTATTTAACAGCTCCCGATACACATTGTAATGATGGAATATTTATGCCATTTATATAATGTTTGCACACATTATATAAACAGGATAAATATTTCCTATATAAATTGTTACGTAAACAACGTTAAAAATAGTTTAAATATTGTTTAATAAATTTCTTTCGCCTGTCGCCATAAAATCCCCTCAAATTTGGAGAATAAACTCTAATCTGGTATCACTGTCTATGGTCCCTCGAACCAGGCGCGCCGCTTCCAACCGCGGCGCTAGAGTCCGTACACAGGGACTACTCGGCTGGCCCTCGGTTCGGTTCGCCCGACAGTCAGCCGCGCGCCGCTAACCATAGCGTTTGTGTGTATCAAAATATCGTATTTCACATAACTTGTTCCTTCGCAACTTGCAAATATTTGTGTTTAACTTTGACTTTTCCCTGAATTTTCAAATAGTGTCACTTTCCAAACGGTGTAACAGCCTGACCGCGTGCACCCTTGTTCTCGCAAATGCGGGATTTGAATATTTGTGGCAAGAAAAATAAACATAGCACTTCGGTAAGTTTATTTAATGAACGTTAAATATACGCCTCTTTATATAGTTCTTAGCATACCTGATAGCATCGTATTCATTCTGGTTACTGAGGAAATAGCGGTTTTAGAATTGATTGTATTAAGTGCTTAACTAAAATTACATATACTTAATACATAATTAATAAGTCGATGAAAGTGAAAGTGGTTATTTTGATGATCGTAAGTGGAATCCTTTATCGAATATGTACGTACCAGTCTATAAACAAGTTTGCTATAAAAAAATTTGGCATACAACTTGAAATATTTTAAAAACATTATCTCATAATATTTTTATTCTTTACAAGATTTTCAACAATGGACTGATGAGAGCACCTCCTAAAGGTCTACCTATGGGGCCCGTAGTAGCAAACCCTTCCCTCTTCTATTTAATGAGTAGGTAGAGTAGGTACCGACTCTTCTGTCTACTCCATAAAAAATAAGGCACTTATATTTGGGTAACTTATCAAGTACTTAAACATATAGTAACAAAAATACTAAGAAATACTCAGTATAAAGATTATAGTATCCTGCCTATATGCCTTATCTAATAGGTATAGTGAAATAATAAGTGTTATAGTTACGACGATATTAATCATATTGAATATATACGTATCTACCTAATCCAAGTAGATATCTACATATAAGTAGGCTGCAGGCCACTCTGACATGGACATAGACTCTTTTACTTATCTCAAAAAAAAAAAATGCTTTTAGTGGTGAAAATGCAACAGATAGACAGACAGTTTCGCAAATATCAGTGATGATTTTTATTTTCTCATCGATATAGATGAACATCCCGCCTGCGCTAATTGTATACGTTGGCATGGCAATAAAGCGATCTTAGCGAAATTTGCTACGTGGAAATCGCCTATTACAAACAAACCCCATACAGGAGAAAGGGGATTATTAGTAATGTGGCTTGATTTCCCCATTGCTAGCGATGTACTGTGTCAATTTGACCTCCATGCGATTCCTCCTGGAAACCATCAAGACAAAGAAATAAAAATAAATAACCCCATACAGGGTATTTGAGACGGGGGAAGGGATTGACAGACCGTTGAAATGGTGACAGATTCCGGTTGATTTTGCCAATTGAATCCTATTAGCAAAACGAGGATACTGGGTATGCAGTAATTTTATAAAACGCTCTGACTTTATCAGTGGCAACAAGAACCGCAAAATTATCTGCAATAAACGATAACTGACACACCAACGTCGGATGTCAGTATGTACAATTGTACAATATCAGTCGTATCACTAACCTTATTGAATATTAACGTTTAAAGTTCACTTACCAATTTTGTATCGAAGCTTTTAATAAACTAGCTGTACTCGCGACTTCGTCCGCGTGGAATTTAACTTTATATTTCATAAAGCAAAAGAATTTTTCTAAAATAAAAGTAGCCTAAGTTACTCCTTATTACATTTTTACACCTGCCAATAAAAGTCCCCTCAAAATCGGTCCAGCCATTTCAGAGATTAGCCGGAATAAACAGACAGACAATAATTGTAAAAACTGTTATTTTGGTATATGTACCGTATTTGTATTCATATGCATGTAGTAAAAAACGGTTATTTCAATATTACAAACAGACACTCCAATTTTATTTATATGTATAGACAATAATACAACATAATAACAATAATCCTAAATAATTCATTCATACAGCGCCATATAGTTCAAAACTAAAGCTTATACTATGCATACTAAACAACCGATAAAATACTTACCTAATTACATATTTTTAAATACGTAGAATATATCCAGAACAATACAAACAATCTTAATTAATACAATTATTAGTATAGTAGTATACCACTTTCTCTCTTCTCTTCTATACCCAATGGTTGTTTGGATATGTTTCTTATAATTTACTTCTAGTGCAAAAAAGAGTAAATTAGTAATTAAAATATAGTGACAGGATCATCGGAAGTAAAGCTAAAACATTAAATCAACGAAGCAATCATCAAATTAACGCCTCACAATGAAAATATTTAAATGACTCAGTACTTACTGCAACTGCATACTTACTTTACGTGTCAATAAATTAGGCACTAATCTCTGATTTAAAACATTTTTGAGACAATTCTAAAAAATGTTTTAAATCAGTGTTCATACGCGCAATGTTCTACTAGAGACTATATAATATATATATTTTTGTTACTGTATTTTAGTTCTGAATCGGGTTTGTTGCTAATTTATGTATGTATATATATTATAAATAATCACCGCAAATAGTTTTGTAAGCAATAATTTTGTTTTCACACAAATCGAGATAACTGCGTTAACAATGTTTGTTTTTGCCGTATTTCCGTAAAGGATATTATTCCTTTTGTGATATAACGTGTGTGTGTGTGTATAGTTATATTTTATTAATGGAAATATACTGACAAAAAATGTGTAGACTGAATGCTGGCGAATCTAATTGCTTGTTATAAATATGATAATAACAATATTCATGACCAGTAAATGCAAAAGAAATGTGATAATATGCTTAACACATAACCGGAACCGGGTTTAGAGTCAGAGTTTAGATCAGGGATGCCAACCGTACTAGAATCCTAATATAGGCATGAAATCTATAGGTTCTTCCTCTTACATTACCTAATTGGTTTTTTTATGGATGATAATGGAATGGTGCACCCACCTGGGCTAACGGTTACGCTGGTGGGTCACCAGTGGAGGATGATAAGACGAGCATGTGGTCAGGTCAGTTAGCCCATCGTGACAAATTCACCAAGAATTTATCTACGATGGTTTCCAGGGGAAACCGCGTGGAGGTCAACCTGCCATGTTACATTGTAGTCAGTCATCAGATCATCAGTCCACATTATTAGCAATCCCTTTCTCCCCAGTTAATTGGTGTAAGTCACTTATACACAAAAACAGCTCTACAGACTGGCAATATCACTCATGCGTTGCAATTCAAGAAATCTAAGATGTCATTATGCCTTTTAAAAAGTATACCAGTGACCAGTGGTATACTAAATAATTTAAGGTTGGCAACCCTGGTATGGATTGTATCAAATATGCAAGGTAACGTCACGGTTGAATCACGCCCCCTCTGTCGCCGCCAGAATCAATAGTGCGTCACACAATGGACCAGACGGACATTAAATGCAAGTGCAGTGATTTTACCCGTCCACATAGGTGACGAACTAAATACCTACCTAAAGCCGGCTGTACACTTATTTTACACATAACTAACAGTACCCGCGATTTCTTTCGCGTGGAATTTAACAAAAAAGTTAATTAGAGATTTTTTCTAAAATATAAGTAGCCTAGTTAGTAATTAGGTTACATACCAATAAAATGGCTACCTGCCAATAAAAGTCCTGTCAAAATCAGTCCAGCCTTTTAAGAGATTAGCCGGAACAAACAGACAGACTGACAAAAATTGTAGGAAATGATATTTTGGTGTATGTACCATGTTTTTATTCATATGCATCTAGTAAAAAACTATTATTTCAATGTTAAAAACAGACACTCCAATTTTATTTATATGCATAGACTTAAACATAGTAGGTACATACTAAACTTATATGTCTCACATGAGAAATAACTATTTTCAAATAAAAAAATTGCATTGAAAAAAGAGGCAAAACAAATTATAATAAAGTAAACACAATAATACCGTCGACTTCAGAAACTACACCTCTTTTGAAGTCGGTTGAAAAGTAAAAAAAAACAGTATTTCACAATTATATCGAAACTATACAACTAAAGTCTACGTCTGCATCAACAGACTCGTACCTTCGTGAAATTTAAATGTGAGGGTATTATATTGATTGAAAACGAAATGTGATTAACAATGTATGTACATGTTTATTATATACTTCAGCCGTTTAACTATCACAAAAATGCCTCACCATGTTTTACTCAGTCATGTATGCTAACTCTTATTGACTTTTACTATCTGTTTTCTAAAAAATATAGTAAACTCTACATATAATTAGTTGTCCAATATATTTTATAATAGAATTAACAAATAAGATAATATGAGAAACAGTAGATTAAATAATGTAAATCATTTCGTATCGTTTGCATACAAACTACAAATGAGTTGCTAAATTTCTCTTTGCTCTAAAAGTTTTTCATTTCGTTAATGACATTAGGCAGCCACTTAAAATCTCTCCAAATACATACATACATATATGTATGTATATCAGTGCTGCTTTTTGTCAGACTTGTGACTACGCTTGACACACATATTAAGTAGATGAGTTTGGTTTTACCCGAAATTGGTAAAGCAATTGGAGATGTTGTTATTTAATAAACAAACTTTACAAATAGCTTAGAATTGGACTCTTCTTTCTATTGACAATAACTGTAACAATTTCTTAATTAGAGTTTGGCAAATTCTTATTATTCATTTTACCATATTGGTTATCTCTGTTAAAAAATATATGACATATAATCATTTATAATATCAATGTTAAGTTGTACCTTATACATCTTTTTTATCCGTTACATATATATGTATATGTAACGGTAATATAATCTAAGTACGTGAGTATTGAGAAACAAAATATTTTTAAGTAGAATAACATTCTAGTCTATATATACACATATATTTATATTACTATAGTAAAGGGACAATATCTCTGAACGGTAAATATAATTAATATTATGTTTGGAAACTTACAAAATTTAAACAAATTTTATAAAAGGAGTAGGTACTTAGTTCATTTTGTGGAAGAGTTTGAGAGAAAGTTGTTTAGATTTCAGCATAGTATTAGGATTTACGACTAACCTTGTCTATTTATGTAATAATTTTATAGTCTATTTATTACAGCGAGTACCCAAACCATATTGATATATGATACACTTGATACTCGATGTAGCTTATTGAAGCTTGACTCTAATGTTCTTAATAATCAATTGGTTGTCACGCGAATGTTGTATATGTGAATATTATTATGAAGTTTTATAATATTACTATGCACTTTCTTACCTCTATATATATTTTACCATGTGGTTTGGT